TACTGACAAAAATTCCTACAAGTGGGTGCTACAATTTAAAAAGACTGAACAAAGAAGATAACTAAAAAAAATGCCTTCAAGTGGGTGCTTTGCATGTCGCCCTATTGTGACCAGTTCCTTTGCACCTACTACAGTGAATGGGTCGCACTGGTACTTCCTGTGACTCGATGCGCTTCTTTTTAGGTCGATCAGGGGGCCGTCTTGACTGAAGTGGAAGTACTCTTATTCCATTTAGAAGAAGTTGTACACGCGTACGCTCAGATAGATCGATCAAGATAACTGGCACGATAGGTTCGGAATATGGTTAACAAAACTTTGCAACTGTGAAATAGTCTTCATAATAGTTGACAGGATCCCTATTCATTCATTGAAGGGCTTTACAAATATGTTTGAAAGGCAAGCCCGTAATTTGTCAACCTCGACATTCACATTCTCGTGCAATTATATTTACCTATAATTCATGCGATCGCCTATTGCTTCAAACACTGCTCCACTTGACACTGTGACCCTAATGGAAAGGGATTGCTTTATGATCTTTATCAGTTCATTTTGCGCATGTGGAGTTTGTGTTGTGGTCTAGGATTCAGCTTCCAAGCTATGGGTGACCATTAGTTTCATGATTTGTCTTCTAATCAAGTCAACGTACTGGAGAATTGGCATGTCACATGCTTCTAGAATCCACTTGTTATATGACTCAGCCACATTGGTTGTTACTTGATTATATCATTTACCCATGAAGAATGATGTGGCCCAACGGTCTGGTGATGCTTTCATGAACCACTTGAATGCAACCTCAGAAATTGACCTAATTTCACTCATATTGTCAAAATACTCTTGTGGCATGTATGTTCTACATGCTCCGACAAAGTATTTTACGACTGTCTTCTTAATATCATTAGGTACGACTTTTACTTCCTTCTTGAAATTCTCCACTAAATGACGCTCACATAAGACATGATGGGTATTCTAAAAAACTTAACATAAAGTATCAACTAGGCCAGGGTGTCTATTAGACAAAAAAATGATTTCACGATCTGTACCAATTGCAATATTTAGAGATTCCTTAAACCACAACCAGCTGTCAGTGCTTTCGGCATCCACAATAGCGAATGCAACATGAAACATTTGTTCTTCCCCATCGAGTGAGTTCACAACAAGTAAAGTTCCAATGTACTGTGCCTTCAGTGATATCCCATCGAGAAAAATCAATGGAAGACATCCACTTTTGAAGCCGTGTATTGAGCCATAAAAGTTTAAGAACAGTCGACGAAATCTGTCATCTTTCAATGCTTGTCATGTCACATAACTATCAGGATTCGCCTCAATCATTCGGTTTACATATGCGGGTAACTGGTTGTATACATCCTCTTGCGAACCATGTGTGTCTTTGATGGCCGTTACTTTCCCTCGCCAAGTCGTGCAATAGGCTATTTCTAACCTATAATCTTGAGACAAATTATTCATGATTTCTTTAGCCTTGTATTACGAAGTGTCACTTAATTTATCCTTGATTGATGATGCAATAAATTTTGTGATGCTCTTCTCTGTACATCATTGCATGTCCCAATATTATATGAGTGTTCTTTTTTCCATATTTTGATGCTAAAGACATTCATCCTGCCAAACTTCGAAGCATATATTACATCCATCACCCTTGCATTTCGCCCTTATGCGATACCCTTCATTTTTAACAAGACAGAAAGTGAAATAGTGTGCTACAGCAAACTTGCTAATGGTTTCTCGGAAGTCATTTAGAGATTCAAATTCTTGGCCTATACCGGTAAGTGCATGAACTAAGCAACATTGATACATTGTTTTGTTCGGAACTATAGATCAAAACATTAGAGGACTGGGGGGGTCTGACCTCTTCGAGTGCCCTAGGGTTACATGAAGTACTTTCAACCCTTTGTTCACTCCCATCAAATACATAAACCAAGAGATTATTCTTGCCTCATGTGCAGTCAACATCCTCTCAATATCATCGTCAATGAATAGATTCACAATAAATCTTCTATTTCCCCGGACAAAATACCTCAATGATATCAAGTATATGTCTGGCGAAAAACGCTCTGCTACGTATTTTTGTAGGTCATCTAACCTAGTTCTACTTTCAATCATAAATGTGTATGCATCACCACCAATATAATCCAAAGTCTTATCCATATTTGATTGGAGTTATCCACTACAAATACAATAAATCAATCTTCTATCACTCATTTTCTTTTCTTCTGCACAAGATTTGTAATAATTTACACCCCATAAATAAACAAACCCAAAGATTATCTGAATACAACACTAATGACTTTGTAGATTTAAACATGTACTTTCAATCGGTGGCTATTTTTGAGCAAATTCGGTCATATTTATTCCCAAGGCCAAAGCCTTTATTCCTTTGATAATCCAAGGCTCTTCTATTTTTCAATTTAGTAAAAATAAAAAACCAATAACATAAATAACAGGGAAATCATAAAAATCAAGGGAAATTATATAAAAAATGAAAACTAGTGACCCATCAAAATCATAAACTGGATTCGCAATTTGATCGAAGTTTACGTGTAACTCAAAAACAATTTGAGTCTATTTCATGACGAGTAGCTCAAAATCTCAATTATGTATTGGTTGAATTCATACTTGTGTTGAAAATTTACAAGTGACTGTTCAAAACAAAAAAGAAGATCGAATTCTCCTTCAATGATGCAATAAATGGTCACTGAGCATGATGTAGATTACAAAAGGATCTAGGTCGGCATGTGTGTAAAATTGTTGATACATGTCCAAAACATGTACAACATTAAAAAAGAAGAACCAATGCAACATAGCTTCCAAGTTGGCTCTACTCCCAGGTTTCATGACACAATAAGGTAGCTACTCTTCTTTCCCCAAATCGCTCAAATGACATCTCAATTCCTTGATAACAACATGCTAATACATAATTTTGTGAAGAATATTACTAATGATAGTTAAGTACCCTAAATTTCCATAAATCCACAGAACTAATTTTAATTTTATGTCAATTTCATAAAGTCTAATTTCACAACAATCTTGAGATAACAACAAATTTCTGCACTGTTTTATTTAAAAAAAGAAAAAAGAAAAACAACAAGACCTGCATTTGATAACATTATTGACATCAACAACAATTCATCATCATCATCATTGTCCGAGCTATAATCCAATTATCTAGAATGGGCTTCATCAACGAAAACAATAACTGAACACACAAAATTCCCATAAATTTCACTAAGTTAACATCAACTCTCAATTATTTCTAGAAATAGCCATAGTTAGCTCAATATATTGAAAATACAAATCAAATACAATTTAGTGGGGGTCCTTAGTTTTCATTTTGTATATGTCAAATCAAATACAACAAATTCGTTGTCAATGCCAAATCAAATATAACAGATTGTCAATGGCAACAAATTTTGAATGATTTTATTAAAAAAATTTACCTTAGATGGGGCTTATTTGGGGTAAAGTAAAAATCGAAATAGGACTATCGGGTTTGGGTTGGGATACAAATTTTGAGAGCCCAATGGTATCTTTCGTAGAGAGACGGAGAGAGCTGGGACCTTAGCTCGGGCGTTCCTTCGAAAAGAGAGAGGGAGAAAGCTTCAACCTACTAGAGAGAGCGTGAGAGGAGGGGGCTTGGGCCGGGGAGAGAGAGCGTGAGAGGAGGGGGCTCGGGTCACAAAGAGAAAGTGAGAGATGGAGAGGATTTCGAGCCGTAAGGGAGAAAAAGTGGGAAGAAAAGTTTGGCTGAGCTCGGGCCGTGAGGGTGAGGGAGAAGCTTCTGTTAAAAAAAAAAAAGGGTGAACTTTACAGGGTAAGAGGGAAAGAAAATGTATTTTTGTCCATTTTTTATTTATTTTTGGGTTGGGGGGTTTTTGCGAGGATAATTTGTTGAAGGGAAAAAGATGAGTGAGAAAAGTTAGAAGGGGGTAAGTTGAGTGAATAGTGCATTCAAGGGTTTTTTTTTTTATAATTTTCTCTATTATATTTATAATTATTTTTTGTAATAAATAAATTGTAAAATAATTTAATGTAATTATAATTATAATAAATAATAAATAATAAATTAAATTTAAGTAGAATAATTTATTTTTATTATAATATTACATTTATAATTTTTCCTTGATTCCCTCAAGTCTAAGTACAAGTTTTATATTTGTTATTTCTATAATAATTATAAAAATTAGATATTGGTGAAAATAATTTATTTTTTGTTCGAATATTATAATTATAACTAAGTTTTTGCCCCAAAAAGTAATTCAAAAAATAAAAAAAGAAAACAAAAACCTTGCTACATGAAAGGCTCTAATAATTGTAAAAAGTAAGTATTAGTAAAAATAATTTATTTTTATTATAATGTTATAGTTGTAATTAGATTCTATAATTGTAATTACAAATAATATTATTTTAAAAACTTTATTATTTAAAATTTTATTATTTTTCCATGTGTACTCTCTCCTCTTTATCTTCATGATTGGATAATAAATATGATATATATTATATTTATATTTGTTATTTTGTAATAGATAAATTGTAAAATAATGTAATGTGACTAAAGGTATAGTAAATAATAAATTAAATTTATGGGAAAATAATTTATTCTTATTAAAATATTATATTTATAATTTTTCTTGATTCGTTAAATTTTAAGTACCATTTCTATATACATATTTCGATAATAATTATAAAAGTTAAATATTGGTAAAAATAATTTATTTTCCATTCGAGTTATATAATTATAATTAATTTTTTTTCCCAAAAAGTAATTGAAAAAATTTAAAAAAGAAAACACAAAACCTGAAAAGAAGAAAAATAGATAATATTAATCCTATAAATATTTTATTGAAAATATTATTCAATGATAAATATATTTATTAATATTAAATATCACGAACGCACGTGCAGTGTGCCTTACTTGCAGAGGAAAAAAGAGGGCATCTCATGCACGTGCCACCCCCTTTAAACCCGTTTCCTTCACATTGCAAAGATCGTACTTTCTTCGCATTTGCAGAGAGCGAGCGCGAGAGCGAGAGAGAGAGAGGAGAATCTGATATAACAAATTGGTTTAGAGAGAGAAAAGAGCAATGAGGATTTCTCTCCTCCATAGAATTGTTCGTGGCAGAGGCTCGACTCGCATGTGCACTGCATTTCTCCACTCTTCTTCATCTACTCCTTTTATCCCACCAACAAATATTCCATGGCGCCCCTCCTACTCTTTCGAACATCATTATTCCTTCCCCTCTTCCTCTTCCTCTTCCATTATTAACCCACGCCTCTCTTTCACTTCCCCACCTCATAGAGCCTTGTGTTCTTCCACTTCTGGTATGCTGTCTCTCTCGTTTATGTTTTTTTTTAATTGCTTGTCTTTAAAATATTGCTTGAATGTGATTCAGGGGCATGCGATGTTTTCCTTTGATTATATGCTGTGTTCTATTGTTTGCTATGTTTATTCATGATTTTGTTGATGACTTGCTTTTCATTGCCCGTATCTTATCTTCATAGGAATTTATGATGATGGTGGATAGTGTTTCATTCTAAAAAATGGGTAGTTAATTCTGAGAAGAATACAAGGTGAACAACTGGTTATGGTTCAATTGGAATATACAAAATTAGGACGCATGGTTCCAGGGTTTAGAAATACGTCAACTGATTCATCTTGGATGCAACAACAATAAATGTTAGTGTACAAGCTTACAGTATAAGATCATAAAACTATCTGATTACATGCTTACAAGGATTTGACTTCTGATGATGGGAATTAGGGGATTGAAATGTCTGGCTGGTTACCTGCCATATGTTTATTTTATTTTGATCTATAATCAATCCAAGAAATGCCAATTTTTCCATTCTTCTTAGATAGAACCAGTTATGTTTTATCACTACTTATGATTTCTGAATTCTTATGTTACACTGGAGAGTGGAGAGCTCATGACACTGCTTATTCATTTTATATGCAATATACATATGTTCAATTATTATATTTTGGACAACATTTATGCTTGGTGGGATGGGTTTCTTTTGTGTTGTGATGTGACATCATGATAACCTATCAAAAATTGATTCTTTCAGGTACCTCAGATATAGTGACTATAAAATCTGATGAAGAGTTTGAAAGCTCTATAAAAAAGGTTCAAGGTAATTTTCTGCTGTGATTGTTATACTCGTTTTTTGCAAGTTTCTCTTGATTTCGTGTACATTTGCTAGTACTTCAATTTTCCGTTAGTGATCCTTTCCCTATGTTAGTGTACTTGCAGTACTAATATTTCTGTTTACTTGATTCCATGTTTCAGATGACAGTCTGCCTGCAATTTTCTACTTTACTGCAGTATGGTGTGGACCTTGTGAGAATCTTCCAACACTTCGTTCTATTTAGACACATCCTTTTTAGTTGTTTTGGGAATCAATATGATGCATATTCTACATACCAAAATCAATTTTTGTGGATATTTGATCATTCATGTTAAATTTGATTTAGCTACAACCTTACTGATATGGCTGGAAATATCAGTTCCTGTGGCTATGGATTTTGAGTGAGGCATTTGGGGCATTGGCCCTATCTAGAAGGACATTTGTTCAATTTCCCTTGTGAATATGCGGAGGGCTAATTTTTGTAATGATAAACATATAGAAGATAGTCAATAATATTACTTTCTAGTTTCTGAAAGTTCATCATCTATACTTATCACAAAGGGGTTCATGTCTGACCTTCTGATGCCCTCCCCACTAGTTCAGAAGATGGTCATTGGCTCATGGGCAATATTATTGCTTTGGCGCTTGGGGTCTGTGCATGTTCGGGACGGGGTAGCATCTATTGGGTGGCCCACTTTAGGATTTTGACAAATTTAGCTGCCTGCAGCAGGTCCTAAGGCACAAGAGAGAGAGAGAGAGAGAGAGAGAGAGAGAGAGAGAGAGAGAGAGAGAGA